GAAAGCAGGGAAAGGTCTCTGTGGTCCGCAAAGCCTTTCCTTGGTGCTGTTTGACTTGCACGTGGAATGACTGACAGCATACCAGTCTGTGAAAGTAGGCCAGCTGCTACTTGATTTGGAACCAGAGGTTAGAGTAGGCATAACCAAAATCTTACATCTAAAGAAGACCCTTGTGGAGAGAGGTTTTTTTTTTTTTTCTCCTCCCCTCCAGTGCTTAATGGACTAAATTTCATGTAGCTGCTGTCAGTTATCAATTCAATATTGAGTAAGGTAACAAACAACAGAATCCAGTACTTTCACATTAGTTGTTTATTAACTGGCAGATTTTTCAATCACAGTTTTAATATCCAAAAGTTGCTAAGCTATCACAAATATAATCTTAACATAAATTAAGTTTAAGAATTCAAGTAGATCTTTCATTAAAGAATCACAGCTTTTGCTATGAATACGACTTAAAATTATTCTGTGCTTACTGATGGAGACCTTATTTACCCAAGGCAACTATGCTGGAATCTAACCATAATCCAATCTAGACAAAGATATTTTTAAAGTTTATTTTGTCAGTTATCACTAATTATGGTTTGTGCTTTTTATCAGGTATAGTAAAAGGTATTTTGTGCTGATTTACTCATTAATTTTGAAATCTTGGTGTTTCTTCTGAGAATAGCAGTGTTAAATGCATCCAATCAATAGTTCCGCAACTCATAAAGGTGCAGGTAAAAGAAGGTGTCCTCTGACTACCCTGTCCTGAGATGTGCACCCACGTGAAAGGCTGCACCCTCATACAGCAGTGAGGAAACTAATATTAAAATCTGTCTTTCCTGGAAGAAATAAGCAGGTATTAGCAGCTACTGCTGCCCTGTCCGTGTGCCCAGCAGCGTGGGCTGGCTAGAAGAAAACTTCTTGTAGCTATTATAGAAATGTGTTTTCTTTTGGTTCCTGCTGCAGCTGATTGTGGTATTAAATCCTTGCTATCTTCAATCCATAGCTCTATGCATTAAGAATTTCTGGAAAGACAGCAACTGTCCTTTACCTGCCCTGCAGCTGACATGATGCACATAGGCCTTCCTACTGATAAAGAAGGTCTCAGGCATTGCACAAACATAACCATAAAAAAATATTTAGAAATAATGAGTAGCAATCAGTACTACCTTATGTGCGCTTTAAAAAACCCTATGAAACTCTTGCTCAGGCTTGCTTTCCACCTCCTACCACATTATGTCTTATAGTATGTGGTGGCCTTCTCTCCACCTACTACTTTTTGCCTAACAATAGCCTAGTTCATAGGTACATTCATTAGTTCATAAGGCTCTCCTGCCTTCTTGCATTCAGTTTTAATAATTAATTAGCAAAGCCTCACCAAATAGAAGTTAACCAACACAGGAAATAAAATGCCTTCCATTTTACCCTGCAATGCTGGTTTAATTACCAAATTAATATTGTACTTCTTTTAAAGTGCTTTTCTTTTTACTTCCATTGAAACAATGTTTAAACACTATTGTTTATGTCACGTTAAGGAAGCTTTACATCCTCTTTTAAAGATGATAGTTAAAATAAAAATCTCACCTCTACTCATTCCTGTTCAAACCTTCAGTAGCCAAGGAAGTAGCCAAGTTTAAAGGCTTTTTTTAAACTTTCCTCAATAATGGACGTTTGCCTGTATGACAATGAACCTAATTGAAGGAACAAAGCCCAGAGGAACCCAACCACCTGCTTAAGTTCTTTGAAGCGCAGAGTAAAGTTCTTCAGATGGCTGGAGCAACATTTATGCCAATGACTTTCCTTCAACCCAACAACAGTCCCATTCCTTTCACAGAAGGAAAGGTATGTCTATCATTGTCACCACTGGGGACCCCTGCAGTTCTAGAAATTATTCTTGCAACTCAGCATCCTCTCCTTCTGCCCCTGCTTGCTACGGGAGGAAGCCTGTGCACTCCTGGGCCTCTCACACAGGCACCAGGCAAGGCCCTATTTGGCTCCAACCTTCCAAGCTGTTAGAGCTCTTTTGTGAGGAGAAGCTCAATGTGAACCCCAGTGCCGTTACCATACACCGGGCTCTGTTTGCCTGCTCGGATGCCTAGCTGTAGCTAAAAGCAATTTCCCACTTTTCACAAGCATTGCATTCTCCCCCAGATTAACAGAACAAAACCACTGCTCCTAAAAACAGGTTATAGGTGTAGCTGCATTAGAAAGTGTCATTATGTGCACCAAACTCTTCAGGGAGACTATCTTCCCCAAAATTTCCCTGCATCCGACACCCAACTCAAACATTAGAGCAGAAAAAGGGGGTCTAGTCCCTCCTTTCTGTAACTTACAATTATCTATTTTCATCATGTACAAGTCTCCAAGCTCATCCCAGTAACGCTGGGGTGATTCAAAAATAACAGATGTACATTCTTCCCTGTTCCCTATGTGACATAACAGACAATGTCATCCTATTACTGAAAAACTAAATGTGTAAACATAGAAGATGTAAAAATATATGGCAGCACAGAGTATAGTAAACTTCTCTACACATATTCACACAACAGAATTACTTATTTTTACAGAAGGTGAAAGTTGCATTCATTCATATTCCTGGCTCTACAAGCTTATTAAAACTACAGCACTACTTTCCAAGCTTTTGGGGATTGTGCTTTTTGAAAAACTTTATAAGCCTCCAAAGCAGACATATTTTATCTCTAGGTATTCGTCAATGCCGTATTTTGAACCCTCTCGGCCTAAGCCCGACTCTTTTACTCCACCAAAAGGACTCTCCACGGAGGAGATGATGCCCTCATTGATCCCAACCATTCCAACTTCCAGCTGCTCTGCAACTCTCCAGATCTGAGCCGGATCTTGAGAGTAGAAATATCCTGTCATGCAGACACAGGAGCACAGGAGTCAGAGTTACAAGGGAGCAGAAGACTAGGTAAAAGATACTGACACTGTGTCAATTAAAAATTCTCATCCCTTTAACTGAAGCTTTAAAGTTCATTACAACACAGAAATGATAAGTCTGTCTGAGGCATACCTGCTAAACCAACGCTGGCTGCGTTTGCTATAGCAACAGCTTCTTCCTCAGTCTCAAATCTGTCAATATAAAGGTAGAAAAAATATGAGTGAGGTTTATAGTTCAAAGGCCATCTTGCTGAGTTACTGTTGTGATGCCACCTTGACAGAAATAATTAATGTTTTTTTCCCCAAGAGTATATTTTCAACACCTGGTTTAATTTTTGTTTTGCAGCAGGGGATCATCTACCACTTCCCTAAATTTAAACTGTTAGGTAGTTAGGATTGTCTTCATCCTGCTAGATGCTCTAAATTAATGAAATATTTACCTGCCATGAGCTAGCCCACCACTTCCCCACCTACACAAGCACTCTTAGCTATGAGAGATGGTAACATGTTACTCCAATTGCAACCTAACACGTGCATTCACTGTGGATAGAGGTGGAAATTGTTTTAAGGGGGAAAAGCTAGAGAGTTCTTCCTTGATCAGAAACACTTAGGACTGAGTCGTTTGGCAAATTACCAAGTCCTGCCTCCCACTTAATTCCAAAAAGCATGAAACTGGTGGGGGTTTGGCTGCCACCCTCCCTTGCTTAACTGCTGCTGCAGTTTAAAGGAATCTTTTTCAAAAAGCTGCAATGATGCTAAAAGTAAATCCAGAGAATGAAACCAACTACTCAGATATCCAAAGCAAGTTTTCATGTGTATACCCCAGTCATACTACAAGATCACTGCGATCTGATCAAAGTATCTTTTAGCAAATACTGATTATATTATTTACAAGCAATAAATCTTTGACTGATCTTCTATAGTGATTTTTAATCTGGAAAATGAATAATCTTACTTGATAACGGGTGCTAAAGGACCAAATGTCTCTTCTTGGGTGCAAAGCATTTTGGTTGTAACATTGCTAAGTAAAGTTGGCTCAAAGAAGTTCTTCCCCAAGCTGTGTCGTTTCCCTCCAGTCACAATGGATGCTCCTTGAGAAACTGCGTCACTAATGTGTCTCTCTACCTGAGGCATGCAAAATAAAAATCTCAAAACTGATTTTTAAAAGTGTACAGTAGTATATTTTACACTAAAGAAACACTACTCTCCATATTAAACAGATTTTTTTCAAAAGAAGACTTTGCAGAAGACCATTTGTAATGTTATTTAAAATCCCTCTTGAATTTTAGTTTGTATCACTTAGACATTTCAGAGGAATGAATTCTGAGTATGTTCCCAATCCCACAGACATAAGAGATGTAACTTTTCTATAATTCATCCAAAGACAGGCAAGTAATGGAGAGTACGAAAGTGGTAATGTCTGCCTAGAATTCTATTATTTCAAGTACTGAAGAGCTCTTAAATGACTATATAGAGTTCTTGTGTGTGTGTTTGTTTAGATGTTTATGATGCACATTATACTTTTTTGATGCAAAAAGGAAAAAAAAAAAAGAAAAGCATCTTCTTACATTCTTATACTCGAAAAAAAAGAAAATATTTAATCACTTATTTCCTGAATAACAGTATTTACATATTCCAGTATGTTAAAAAATAGAAGAATCTGACAGTATTCGTGCAGAATTGAAATAAAACCAAGCCTGAATATAACTGAGCCATAACATGTTAAAGAGTATGAACCACTAATTCAATAATCTTCAACCTTAGGAAGGGTAAAAGGAAATAGTATTAAAAATGTGACTTATTGTAATTCCATTAAAAAAAAATACATTTCCTGGAGCCTCAAGTAATCCAAAACAGAAGACTCAACCCACACAGAGGTTTTAGTGACTCCAACATCCAGAGCTCTGCTAGTCCCAACCACAGTCCATTATTCTGCTTAGATTTTGCCAACCAGACTCACTTTTCTTCAAAATAAGCTGTCCTTCACAGTACCTCTAGACTGCAGAATCACTGCACAACTCTGTCAGAGTACCCAGTTCCAAAAAACTGTCCTCTTTAGAACAGCCAAGAAATAACTACAGAGAATCAGTTTCTCCGGTCAGAACAATCTCTTTCTCTGTAATTCATGTAGGGGAAAGGTACTTCAAGTGCTATATGTTTTCCAGCATATGTGCACATGGGCTTGGAGGAGAGGACAGGCTTAAAGAAAACCAGCCACATTCTAAATATGTTCTAACAAAACAAGTGTGGAAAAAGAAAAAAGCTAAATATAAACCCAAAGTTATTTTGTGGATCATGAAGAAAATTAAGCTGTCAAAAATGAAATATTTTATTTGTACCTTCTCCACTGCTTTTTCATTAATGAGTGGTCCCTGTGTAGTTTTTGCATCAAATCCATTTCCAACGTGAAGCTCTCTTTCTATGGCTTTAGCAAACTTCTCCACGAATTTGTCATGGATTCCCTTCTGCACCAGGAAACGGTTTGTGCAAACGCATGTCTGAAAACAAACATGAAAATGTAAAACAAGTACTAACTTATATTGTATTTCATCTACTTATGAATTATTTCTGGCTTTCATGGCACAATATTGGCTTGCTACAATGATCTGTCCTTTGTCTCTTCTCCATCAGCCTAAACCGTTAAAAAGTTTTGCCACTTCTTTCATCACTCCAGTAGTACATGTGCCAAGTATCACATATTGCTAATATAAACTGCTCATGGTGGCAAAAGGCTTTTTGAGCTCTGTAGGTTCTCAGATATGAATCAATGAGGGTCCTAAAGTTGTAGGAAGTATCCTCTAATTAGAAACCACGGAGCGCTGGGCTCACCAACAGAACTGAGTCACACCTGAAGATGTGGTGAAGGGTCTTTTTTTTTTCCCCCTTAACTGCTTCATTGATTGGGTTTGAGTTTTCTTTCTTCTTCTTCCTGAAATTTGTTTGCAAATGTTTTCAATGACCTACTAACATACACATTTATGCTGCACATTTGCTCTGAGCAGAATCCTACCTTACTACAATCTCTCAGAAGTAACATTCCCTCATCCACCCAACCACATCACCTGTGATGCTCCTTATTCCATGCAGCAGCCTGCACAAGAAGTGCCTAGTAGCTGGATGTTGTCCAGCGCATATCTGACCACTCGACCATCCTTATCCACTTTCCAGGCTCTTTGCCACTTCCTTTCTTCTCAGGACTAGTCTTATATATTTTTTTTGTGTTATTCAAGTACTACCAGAAAACATTTTCCCATCCAAATGAACTTCTTATCTCCCTCAAAACTTTTCTCTGAAGTTAGAGTTCTTCAACTTAACATTCACATCTCTTAGGAGAATTACATCTAAGGCTAGAACAGTCTTCATACAACTCTACACAGCTGACTGTTCTGAAAAGCTGTGCTCTTCAATTTTTTGTTGTTTGTTTAAATAAAACACATTTGAGGCCAAATACACTTGAAACTTGATTGCTTTTTAAAAACTTCTTGTTGTGGAAAATCTAGGTAGGCTTGTCTCCAGGCACTTCAATCATCTTAATTCTGCTGAGTGCTTTCGGAGCATAAGAATGACTGGGATTAGATGTACAGTCTCAAAGATAGGAACACTTATCATGAGACTAGAATTTTTAAGAAACTGCTAAATCCTGAGAACGGAAGCAAGATGATGTATTTTCTCAGCTCTACCTCTCCAACAAATTAATTGAATGCTCATTAGGTAATATATTTAATAAAATACCCCATCCCTTCTCCTGGTGAACATTTTCCTTCTCATTGCTAGTGTTCATAACAAAGTGCCATATGCATTGTAAAAGTGCACGGGATTTTACAATTCTGTTATTCAGACTTGCTGTTTGATAATCGGTTAAAGCACAGAGATGTGAGCTCAGCATACGTCCAGCTTTTCACTTCCCAAAAGCATGTGAAAAAAAAAGCCCTTACCTGCCCCGAGTTTCTGAATTTAGAAGCAAGGGCCCCTGCAACAGCACGGTCCACGTTGGCACTATCAAACACAATGAAAGGAGCATGCCCTCCGAGCTCCATGGACACTCGCTTCACGGTGCCCGCGGCGAGCTTCAGCAGAATCTGCAGGAGACAGAAATCTCTCTCTCTCTCCCAGATGTAAACTATGACACCACAGAACTTACAGGTGGAAGGCAATGAAAAACTATCTCTTGTGGTGAATTCATCTGCATCCTCTCTATAATGCTTGACAGTGTGTTTTCTTCCATTACAAATACAGGGAATAATTTGCTTCATTGAAATTTAGGGATTAAATTACACCAAGAAAAGGATTCTCATCAACTTCAGTTCAGATCAGGCTTCTGTCACTCTCATTTGCTCATTTCTAAGTACTCTGATTACTCTTGAGAATTTTTCCCATGATCTGACAGGTTGTGGGGCTTAGATTTGCCTTAATGTCAGACTTGTTCTTCATTCCTCCTGTGGCTGTCGACACTCTGCAGTATCACTAATTTCATTCGGGACATGGAAGACAAGGCCTGCTTTTTCACTAAAGCTGCCAGGAGACCATCAAAGCAAGGCCCTCACTTCTCAAATGCTTCCTCTCAACTACGGAAGCCCTCCCCAAAAAGTACATTTGAAATTCAGTTTCAGTGTTCCTACTAGTATGTTATCACCAAGTAATATGGAACAAGAGCATCTTGCACAGCACTGCTCAGGTTAGAGCTTGATAAAAGGCAATTACTCAGATGCTGCACATGGGCATCCTTCTACAAAGTACGGATACTAAAATAAATAGACAGTCTCTCAAAAATACTTTGTTGGACAAACTGAACTGTAGCTGGAAAAGAGAAAGGCTCTACATGTAAATACACCCTTTCCCCCTACCTTCCCAATATAATCACAGTAACAATCTTCAAGGAGGTTTTGTGCACTTGCGTACCTTTCCTGTCGCAGTGGAGCCAGTGAAAGATATTTTGGCTACTAAAGGATCAGTGCACAAAACTTCCCCTACAGCTGGTGCCTTCTGTCTGGAACAAGGAACAACATTATACACTCCCGCTGGAATTCCAGCCTGGTTTGCAAGCTGAAATGAGAGAAACACAGAATTTGCATTACCAGTAGATTTTGTAAGAGGAGCACCTAACAGACAATGGATGAATGAGTGTTGTTTGCTTAGTGCTTTGAAGAAACCAGTGTGTAAGTGGATACTCAAAGTATACAGCACAACTAATAACAGATGACAGAATCAGAGACTGGCTTCACCCCTGTTTAAGTTGGCTGTCATTCAAAGTAACCCAAGAAAAGATATAAAGATGTTTTGTGTGTGGTAAAATGGCTAGATCCACATGTAGGCTTCTGACCATTTTCAAGGCAGCTCTCAAGGACTGGTAGTAAACTAAAACCTCTGGATGTTCTGAGCCAACTTGTCTTTTCTTCATGCATGAGCTTGGCTTACATTCAAAGCCCACCTACTGCCCATTTTCAGCTGCAGTCTGCTGATAGCATAAAGCCTGGCACCTCTTGGCTCACCTCTCCAAGAGCTAGCGCTGACAACGGCGTGTCCTCGGCGGGTTTCACTACGACCGTGCAGCCAGCTGCCAGAGCTGCACCCACCTTCCGGGTGATCATGGCACTTGGGAAATTCCACTAGGAGGAGAGAAAAGTACAGTCAAAGCTGGGAAAATGCCACCTCCGTTTCCATGCAAACAGATGGCACTTCCTTCAGTTACACGACCATCTAAACAGAGCTGCAAGAAGTGCTTTGTCATAAGTGAACACTACAAAGAAGTACTGCCAAGCCAGGAAGAAGTGAGGACAAGGCAGAAACAAACCTTTTTTGGGCTGTTTCCTATGGCGGATGAGCCAAAAGGCCCCATGCTGAGAACCGAGTTGAAAACCTTCACATGATTTGAAAATTCAGCTGTACTTACTGGGGTTATAACAGCTGCCACTCCTACTGGGCTGTTTCAGCACCAGGATTCTTCTGTCTTTCCCAGATGCTGGAATAATATCACCATAAACTCGGCAAGCTTCTTCTGCAAACCATTCCAGAAACGAGGCCGAATACAGGACTTCACCCTGTGCTTCTTTCAGAGGTTTGCCCTTTGGTTAAATCAGATTGAAGACACACTTTAAGGTGGTAGATTTAAATTGACAACAAAAGCAAGTTTAAGTCACTTCAGTCTGTCTTTCCCAGATGCTGGAATAATATCACCATAAACTCGGCAAGCTTCTTCTGCAAACCATTCCAGAAACGAGGCCGAATACAGGACTTCACCCTGTGCTTCTTTCAGAGGTTTGCCCTTTGGTTAAATCAGATTGAAGACACACTTTAAGGTGGTAGATTTAAATTGACAACAAAAGCAAGTTTAAGTCACTTCAGAGTCTTTGCTCTAGAGTGCCATTTTGCTTGATAATCCCATATCACGGATGCTGCAATTTCCAACAAGCATTATACAATTTCACAAGCAATACGTCTGCATTCTCAGTATATGGTCATTGTACAGCCAACAATTTGTCTGCTGTGCCAGGATTTACGCCTGCACTAGAGAGGGACCTGAATAACAAATGTGAAACACGTTTATTTGCAAACTTTGCAGTGAGCTGCAAAGTTTTGAAGAAGCCAGAAAATAGGGTAAAAGAAGCCCACATGCTAGGGGTATTTGTGGGGGGAGGAATATTTCTTTGTGCTAGCTCCAGATCTGGTTCAGTGGACTGAGTGACCACTGGCAGGTGGAGCACAGCACAGGAGTTCCTGGAATGAGCACAGCTGGGGTACTTGCTTTAACAGGGCACTCAGATCCAAACCACAACACCAGTGTAGGTGTAACCCCTTAAATATAAACGACAGGAGTTTTAGCGAGACCACTGGGGCCAGACTACAAATCCTGACTGTCAGGGTAGGAGTTTAAAGGAACACCCACAACAAGCACTATCATAATTACAGCAATGATTACTTGTCAGATAGCTGCTTTTTCCTTAGAAGATTGGAATAGGTAAAATTGCAATAAGAAGGAGTCTTCAAGAAACCCAACCCATGATCCCCAAAGTTTGTCCTTTTTTGTGACCTTTACTGCACATTTGAACACATGTCCTTATCCTTTCTAGCTCTCAGATTAGTAACTTTGCTAAATCTATTTGGCATAAACTACCAAAATCTAACCACTAAACTCAAGCAGTACAAAACAAAACAAAACAAAAATGTTATTCTCATCTTTATTTCATACACTAAAGATCAAACACAGCACTTGCATCAGTTTTCCCCTTGTATACATATATGTTTTTTCTTTAACTTTTATCAAAGTCAATGAAACTCTGATAAAACACAATTGTTTTATGCCCCAAGACACAGTTCAGGCTCACATACCCTTCTGTACATCACGTTTGGGGCCTGATCTCAGCTAGGTTTCTTGTACTGATGCCATCAATAGCATTACAGAATGGACTCTACATATGTAAGAAACCACAAAGTTTGAAACACTGTGGATTGCTCTAACAAGGAGAGCTGAATGTGCAATGCATGCACTAAGGCTCAATGTTGTTAAAGTAAATAATTTTATTAAAAAAATACAGTGTCTAACTGCTGAAACGCATGCTAAGTGTTTTGCTAGTTTCCTGTTTTGCTTTCATGTTAGCGCATTGTTTCTAAAAAAAAAAATAAATAAATGTTGCCATTGTGACCTACCAATTTTCATGGGTTTGGAGTAAGAGAGGCGACTTAAATGCTCGAGCTGCCTGGGGTACCTTTAGGAAGCTTCAGAAACAATTTTTCACGTAACGCGCTGATGAGAATTGCTCTGCTGACAGCACCACAACTGCAAAGGCAGGGGCTTCTTCTGAGCCCCGCTTCTGAACAGGGAGAGAAGCGGAGCCGAGGCCTCGCTGGGGGCTCGCAGCTGCCAAGGACAACGATCGGGGCGCAGGAGGCTCCCTGCGGGCCCCTGCCATGACCCCCAGAGAGCGGAGCGGGGCCGGGCCACACTCTGCCCTCCCCGCCGCTCTAGCGAGGAGGCAGCCGCGGCGCCCCCGAGGCGCGTGCCATTCCCACCCGTGACACTCACGTTCTCCGCTGTTATGATCCTGGCCAGGTCGTCTTTGCTCTCGATCACCAGCTCGTACCACCTGCGAAGCAGCCTGCTCCTCTCCTGCAAAGCACACACAGGAGC